CAAGTGGCTGTCCAGTAGCCAAAAGCTCTCCCAGAGCCCCAGCCTGTTGCAAAAGAGGAGCCCTCTGAGCAAGGCTGTGACTCAGGGTGACCCAGATCTCATGGCCTGCGAAATGCAAGCAGGAATCAAACATCTTGCCCACTTTTGGATGTGTCTGGAGCAGATGTCTGTGTCAAATCCACTCACTCCAGGCTTTCCTCATGACAAGCAGACGGATGCAGATAAGGGTATGGTTCATCTGACACTTATTTCAGGTGTCTGGTTTGGGATGAAAAGATTCACACCCTGAATACATTATACATTGGTTAAAAAGAGACTATTCCGTAGTAGATGTCTGAGTTATAAATATCAATATTTCATCAAAACAGCCCATAGGCCACCACAAGATTTCCTTTGGTGGTTGCCATCAGCCATCATTGCTGGCCCCTGGGATCTGTATGGCTTTGCTCACCCAACAGGCAAAGGAATGGACAGGAAACCAGAAACCTTCCTTTCTATGAATAAAATTTAACCCTTCAAAGCAAATGAGTGAAGTTGCACCGCAACAAGGAGTGACAAGGATTGTCTACCCAGATAATGCAGTTTCACAGGTAGTTATCCCTTTAACCTTGAATACCATAGTTGAAATATTTAGATAATTCCAGTGTGCCCCAGACCTGATGTCTCTGAGCAAATCCGAACTAACAGAAAAATTCCAGAGAGAAAGTATATGGTATAGTAAATGTTGCTCATTACCACTATAAACCAGTCTTCAGTATAGCAGGTTTGCTGCAGAGCTGTGTTTTAGGATAAATTTTTATACTTCCAAGATAACATACAAAGGAGCAAAGGGATCTTCCGCGATGAAGGGCTGGAATATGTTTGTGTGGCTGAGACAGAGGTTTTGTGTGGTAGCACCCCCTTATCTCCATACCTGCAAGATGAGGGGCAGAGCTTTGGCTGAATGTCCATTCTGGGTTGTGAAATCTCCATGTGAGGGAGCAGGGACAGCTCAGCTGACCTCCAGGTCTGGCTCAGGTGCCAGCACGCTGCCTCCCCTCCCACTGCTTGGAGGGTAAGCCATGAATGGGGATGTCATTTCCTCACTGGTAATCTGCAGGCCACTGGATCCTTTTTGCACATAAAGATGTACTTTGACAGGCTAAAATACAGCTCCTGCCTTACCTTTTTCAGTTAAATTGGGCAGGGTGAGACACAGCCTCTTCCAACATCTTATTTTGGTTCATAAACTAGGACATTTACTGGCACAGCAGCAGAAAAATGCATTTTCTAACCTTTATGTATAACAAACAGGTGTTATGGCAAAAACATGTTTTGCAGAAGGTACCAAGTAACCTCAAGGCTGAACTGAGAGCTGTAGAGTTGTCTCATTCCCTGCCAGAGATCCTGGGATGTCATCCAAAATTACCTGTGGCTTCTTGAGTTTAGTTCAGTTGGAGATGAGAATCAGCAAGAAAAGTGTGTGTAAGCATCTACATATGCAGAAGCAAGAAAAGTGACAGGCATATTGAAGACTGTATCTTGGTAGTCTACATGTAAGTCCAGGGGAACTTTATAAACAATATCCATATTTAAACATTTATACATTTCCCAGTAGCCACTTGAAAGCCACAGTTTTAATTCATGATGCTGAAAGTCTTGATTCAGAATGACATCAGTCAACACTGAGTGTCTGTCAGAAGCTGGTGCTTTGGATTTCATTAGGTTGTCTCACAGTGGTGTGGAGCAACATCTTATGGGGCTTTCTGTACTAGATCCAGTCCAGACAAGCTACCAAGTGTGTGTTACTTCAGGCATGTAGAAAGTCATTTGTACATCTTGATTTGAGGCAGACTAATGTTCTTTTGTGGTGTGGAGCTGTACATCTAGATTCATGAGTGGGACCCAGATCCTAAACAAGAGTTGAGAATATCAATGCCTTTGCAAAATTAAACCTCTCAGTCAAGTTCTGGATATTTCCCTCCTGATAATCATCTAAACTAAAAATTAAAAAGTAAGAAACCGGGCAAATCTTGAATCTAGATGCAGTCAAATGAAATTTGAATCAGCAACAAATATTCCTATTTCATAAGAATGAAATAAGATATGGAGAGTATGGTGAAATCAGCAGAAAGTACCTCTAATCCTATATTGCTTAAAAGTCATTAAAAAAATAATGATTCAGTGACATGAAAACCTAGTCTAAGCAGTCTCTTGTTCTCTCTCTTTAACTAATTTCTAGAAATTAAGCTACAATAAACCTCTGCAGTATAAAAGGCTCCAAACCTCACCGGAATTGTTAGAGGTTTGCAGGAGGCTGTGGTGGGACTCATCTGAGTAGGACAAAAGGATAGGATAAACAATAGATGGACATTTTTCCTAGCGTGCTTGTAGGCATGTCCATGTACCATCTAAAACTGGGTCTTGTGGACACCAGCAGTTCTGTGGGTGTGAGCAACAGAGATAGAACTAAGCCAAGCAAGCCGGCAGAGAAGCTATTCAGCGTTTCTGTGGAGACAGTGCAGCTGCTCCCACATGGAAACAGCCCATCCCCACACACCCTGCTCCACCTGCCAGGTACAGTGGAGCTTCAGCTCATAACATCAGAGCTCATGGGAAGCTAGGAGAGGGGCATGGACTATCCTCTGCTTTAAATGTATTTGGGCACTACACAGTCAAATATAATGGATAATATTATATTTTGGATATATAAAAATCCAGGATCCAGGTATAATATCTGCAGGAGTTCTCAAGACCAGGCCCCCTGAGCTGGCTCAGCCAGCTCTGCTGTGCCCAGCACTTTGACTGCTTTCACCCATTGCCCTCACAGGGGCACAGGCAGTGGCAGCAGAAAGCCCAAACTGGGTCAGTCTCTGCTGTTGTTTCTTCATCTGTGGGAAGTGTACAGAGAGCTGAGGTTGGAATCAAAAGGTCTGCAGCAGGAAAAATACAAAAGCCTAAGGGATGCAGAGTGGTTTGAGAGACTTCAAGTTTGTTTACATACACTCATTTTTCTTTTTTCTTATTCTCTGTTACTTCAAGAGTACTGCAGCATGGAAACATCTCACAGTGGAAAGGCTAGGCTTGTCATGGAAAGATATACACTGAACAAAGTGCTGGCATCAAAAAAAGGTCTTCCTACCACAGGCAATACTAGCATAGTCATGGTTAATGTGTGGGATTCAAACTAATGCAGCCTATTTTGAGGCAAAGGACCTTTTGGATGTCTGCAATTAAAAATGGAATTGATTGAATTTTTCATCTGTCCTGTTTATATTTACACATTCTTGTCTGGTTAAAATTTGGAAGTTTTGTGGGTCATTTGTGTTTTGTCTCTGTGACTGTGGCATATTTTAAAAAACAACCTGAAATGTCAACGATATCAAGAGGAGACAACAGTGACTGTCTGAGATTACTCTAAGCCTCTCTTTCCAACACAGGAAGAGTAGAAAGTTCATATCTACTTTTACACATAGGATAATTTATGAAATCTTTCAGGAATTCTGTACAATTTTCATTGTCATTGGGGGAAACAGCAAAGTTTGGTACATGGCTGAGAAATGTTTGTGTCTTAAGCATCTCCTGAAGACTCATCTGCAGTTTTATTGTACACCAAATTCTGCAGGTCACTTCAAGCCTAGTTCTGGTTTTAATGGGACTAATGGCAGTTCTAAATACTCCCTTTGGGAGCAAATTAATACAGCCCATTCATTTTGGCTGACAAAAGTTAAGTAAATGTAACATTTTCCTTCTGAAAATAAATGGAAATATCTTTAAAAATGAGCCTAAAATAGATATTTACATCATGAAAAAAACTGTTCCTTATGTTCTTCCAATTTGTATTCATTTTTGGCTCCTTCAGCAGCAGCTATTGGTGATGAAGTAGTTGAAAAGGAGCATAAGTCATTGAATCAGAGTTCAGTCATGTAGTACCATGACCCATATATTCCTATGGGGTGATTGCTGCACTTGCATGGTTCCAAGCTGAAAGGAATGTGTGTTTCTTGGGAACATATAGCTTGGAAAAAGCATATAGATGATAATAATAAAAAAGCACAGAGCTGAACATGGAAAGACACATCTCTGAGAAACTGCTGCTGTACTTTTTCTCAAAATCCATCTGTTTATCATAAATTTTCATGTCTGTGCAAGCATATTAGGAGATATTGAGTGATGTGGTAGTTATTGGAATCATTGCAAAACCAACAAACCTGAGGAGAAAGCCAGTTTTTCAACATTCTATTTACTATACAGGACAAGCAATAGCGTACACTGGTAAAATTTTGAAACTTCACAGTTACAGTGAGTAAGCACTCAGTAAGAAAAGCACAAATTTGCAGCAGGTTTCAATTACATCCACAGTGGATTTCAGGGCAGTTACATCAGCTCCTATATTCTGGGTAAATCAAGAAGGTGATTAGCATGGATGAATTGTGCAAATAGAAGCTTGTGCTGCTTCTCTGAGTTATTTCACCTCCATTTTCTCCTGTGAACACATAGACTTCTCAAGAAGCAGTCAGTGTTTTCAAAATAGGCCTGTAATGAACTGTAGGCAGGTTTTGCCTGTTCAGTGATCAGGCTGCTGATGAAATTACCTTCCCTGAGAACCCAGGAGTCTGCCATCATGTTGGCTGTTTATTTAGGTTGTCTGTTCAGAATTATGTTAAATTCTTGCCTTATGCAGGCACAATACCTATTGCACTATTCAACAGAAAAAAAAAAAAATACCAGCAACACAAACATTTTCCCAGTTCAATCACTAAGAGGCAGACTGTGTTTGGAAAGTATGTTTTAAATGGGAGGAAGGGGAGACTTCACAAAAGATTATATATTATTTGATGATAATTTAAAAGCAAACCAAGACTTGAAAAAAAAATCTATAGGATAAATATGGCCTCTATAAGCTTTTAAAAACCCCAGTACAGAGTCTTGCTGCCTTTAGGACTACAATTATAAAATCAGCAAGCCAAATAACGTGATCAATTGCTTGTGTAGACATAATCTTCCCAACTCCTTTCCAGGCCTCCTCTTCTCAATTGTCATTCCTGAAAATCTCAGCAGTATCCCTGCGGGCAAGCAGGGAGTTCAGACCCTGTGATGGTGTGAACATCCCAGTGATCTGTTTTGTCCTGCTGTTTGACTGCAAGCTTCCTCTGCGGCAAGAGGCAAGGGAGGATGAAGAAAGAAGAGCAGCTCCAAAATGATGTGCTGCTGGTAGGAAAAGGTGAGTGCAGAGCAGGAGATGTTCTAAGCAGGTCTAAAGGGAACACTCATCTCTGTGTGTGGCTGTGGTGGAGGGTGTCTGAGAAGGTGGTGAGGTTGTCAAGCTGTCCAAGCTGGGAATTGTTGACTTCAGCAGTGCTAGCAGGTGCAGCAGTGGAGGCTCACATGGGTGCAGAAGCTGTGAGGAGAAGGTGCAGCAGCCACAGGAAGACTCTTTGGCTGTACCCCTTCTCCTTGTTTTCCCTTCTGCTCTCTGCAAAGGTGAGGAGAAGACTGCAGGAGCTGCAGACCAAGGATGCAGCTGGGGTGGAGGCAGGCAGGGCAGCTTCTCCTGCCCACAGAGTGTCTGTCTGTGGCCATGAGCCACACAGCCATGGAGTTCACAGTGGCCGCAGCAGACCTGCTTCCACATGTGGGAAGATTGGGTGGGATGAGGGTTGGTTCCCCAAAGGGTCCCAGGACTGGTGGACAGCACCTTGTGTGAACACTGTGAGGGTGAGGGGCTGGTGGACATACAGGCCCTCAGTGGTTAAAGAGGCTGTGGGAAGAGTTGGGATAGAGGACTGGCTCTGCTGGAGCAGAAGGATAGGGGTAACCCCCAGAGGTATCAAAGGGGACCATGCTGAAAGGGCTTCAGTCGACTGAGGACCACAGCGATCTGTCAAAAAGAAGGACAAATTCCCATTCTGTCATTGCATGGTTGGCCAATGACTTCAGAAAAATTCTGTGCAATTTCCTTTCCAAAAGAAAATGTTGTTTTGAAGTAAGCCTGTGCATTTCACAGATGTGCCAATACACTGGCTGACACAGCTCCTATTCTACAAGAATATATTATTTCTTTTTGATAGGAAGTCAAATAAAGAAGGGAATGGACTGAAACCAAATTCCAGTATATTTGTTATTTCCAAGCTCCTAATTCAGAAAAACAGTGTTGCACAACATTTTTTTGCTATTTCATCCATGATTGTTCTCTGAGGGATCAACATTACAAGACACACTCATGTGGACAGCCTGGGCAAATATCTACTTAAAAATTCCATGAGGATGAAGAACAAGACTTTCTGGAAATCACTCCGTGCAAAACACTGTCCAAATTCCATTTGAAGAAAAAGACATGTACACAAATAAAACACATGCAGAAACTTTCAGACTTCAGTGGCAAATCTCATTTTGTTTTTACCTCTGCTCTCAGATAGGAAGACTCCTGGGCTCTTAAAAACTCTATAAGCACCAATACCTCCTCCTCCTCCCTCTGTCCCCCTAACAGGATCTTCTGGTTTTAGCTTCTCACTTTGGGGTCTTCATAGCTATTCTACTGAAGAAAAAAGGGCAGGGGTGTCACCAGAGCCCTGTACTGCCTGCACGCTTCATGTTCAGCTGTGTTCTGGATGCTCTGCACAGATCTCTGCCATGAGCCTGACCTAGACAGCCATGAGCAGCACAAATGTGACCTGAGTTCTGCAGTGATCCTTGGCTCTGATACATGGCCCTTGTCAGCTCAGCTGAGAAGAACCATTCTCTAAGTCCTGCCTTTGTGAAAGCAGAACCAGGGAGCTCCACCCTCACCAGCCCGCGCTGCTGCAGCCAGCTGTGCAGGGCGTCAGGCAGCACAGCTGGCAGGGCTGCACCAGCTGCTGCAGGTGACACGGGAAGGAACTGGAGAGAGGCTGGGAGTCTTGGGAAAGACACAGTGATATTCCTTTGGTTTTGAGCTCTAGTTGAGTCTGGTTTAGAGTTCTAGTTGCCTTCCCTCATCTCAGGCTTTCTGGTGTTCTGGTTTTTTTAAATAACGATTTATTAATTCATCTGTATATGGGGTAGGCAATAAGCATAGCCATAAAAATAAAACAAAGTGAAAGAAAAGCAAGTGCAGAGGCTGGAACAGTACCTGGAGTTATAGCAGTAGGATACAAAAGTCACAAAAGAAAAAAAAGAATATGCAAAACCAGATTTTGTTGACTCTTCTGCTCCCAGAACCAGCTTGGGTTATTTCCTGGGACTTCTTTCCCTCTTTTTATAGCTTTCCAGGCTGGCTAAATTTCCCAGTAACTCTTCAAATCCAAAAGCAAGCTGTGCCTACAGGAGCACTTCTGTCTCAGCAGTCCCAGAATCACAGACTCTTGTTTTCCCTTCCAGCGCCATCAAGCATTCCTAAGTCACAAAACTGAGGTCATTGCTTGAAGTTTTGCACAGTTCTGCCTGTGCATGCTTGGGACTTTGCAATGAGGATGTCAGCTGCAAAAAACCCACCAAAACCAGAATGGCTTGAGGCATCATTGTCATGCACTCTGGGTCATCTGTGTCCCAGTGATCAAGGGTAGAAATGTTACCAAACCAGAACATCACCCGTAGCTCCAGGTGAAGGGGAGGTTGGAAGCCTCACAAGTTGTGAGAAAAAAGCTACAGAGAGCCTGGGGCAGGATCTATACCTCTTCTGAGTAGCAGATCTCCACTGTAGTCACAAGCTGTCCTGAATTCACTTGCTTTTTAACCTATTGCAAAAATTATCCTTAAATTACAGCAGTTTGGGGGCAGTGTTTACAGGGAGCATTCCCAAAGTGTTAGAGCAGCAGTACCTAAAGGGAAATTTAGGTTTTCTTTTCCTCCCAGGTAGTAGCTGCCAGCTATGCACAGATGAACATGCAAGGGTCCAGCTCCAGCTCTGCCTTCTTCTGGGGCTCCCAACATTTACCTTTTTGCCACCCAGTAAAAGCATGTTCAGCTTTACCTCAGGCTACCTCATTGTGTCATCTCAGACATCTTTATTCCCTCAGGCACAGCCCACAGCAGCAGACCCAGGTTTGAGGAACTATCACCTCAGGCAACAGAGACTACTTCATGCCGTGGGTCTGGTCTGCACAGTTCCATCCCTGCTAACGCTGCTGATATTGCTGTTAATCCATGCTGCTGGTGGGGGAAAGCCCACTCCAGATGTGCATCCCTTGATCTGTAGCTATGGAAGCTGGGCTCCTACTCCCCATTCCTCTGTGTCACATCAGGACCAAGTTTGTCCCATCCCAGCATGCAGGAGGAATAGTTATTTCTCTCCAAGGCAAACACTGAAAGACTCTTAATTCATGTTTAGCCTCAATAAAGGGAAAAGACTGAAAAATTACAATATTATGTATTTAATCTCAGGGCAACTTCATGGTTGCCAGCTTCCTGGGAGTCCATCCTGAGCTACAGATGCTTCAGTAGCTCCCTCTCATTCTAGATGCAGATGAGGCCTCATTTTCCAAACAAGAATCAACACTGTAAATGTTTACACTGCAATAAATCCTAAGGAGCCCTCCATTTCTCAGCATTTGAGAGGGGATCAGTAGTCAAAAGGCACCACTGAGCAGCCACTCCTGTCTGTCAGCCTGCTCTCTGCCATACAAAAGTCAGTGATTTCTGCTTATATACAGCAAAAAGAGTCATTATTGTTTCTGACTCAGCTCGGAGTATTTTGTCATGTCTGATTTTGCTGGAGGCTCCAGCCCTTCACGCCAAGTTATGTTATCACACAGCAAGAGCAGCTAAATAGCCCCAGATGGCCTGCTTGGGTCACATTAGCCTCCCAGGTTTTCAGCAGCACTTTCATATACCCTGTTACTCTTGGATAGTGCAGAGATGGCTTTCTCAAGCCAGGTTTGTGAGCAGTCTAGGTGGATGCTCCAGGGCTCCGCTGTGAGACCTGGCTTGTGTTTAAAGTACTCTGGGTTTGAATAAATCATATCCCTGTGTACTACCATAAAGGAATGTGGATGATACTCTTGCGGTTATCCACAACATCTTTGTGGAGATTTTGGGAAGAAAAACAAATAGCACCCTTCCAAATATTTTGAAATGCTACCTCTGACTCTGAGGAAGAAAAAGTTTAAAGAGAAATTAGGCTGTCATGAGTTATTTGGACTAATAACCACCAGCAGAATAAGTTAACTTCTAAAAATATTGTTTGGCCAAAACTTCTGTGTCTGGTTTTGGGGGAATTTTTACTGATCTGTGCAGTAATGCACACACTGTAAAGATTAAACTTTCAGCAACTTGATAGGCAGGTTTAGCTCTAAGACAAAATCATCACACAAATGTTGTCCTGCATAAACCGGGAGACATGGCATGGTTGGTACCAAGTGCTGTGGAGAAGCGTCATCACCCATCATCTTCTTGGTGGCTCATGTTATTGATAACAACCCCAGCTGTGGTCTCAGCCAAGATATTCTATCTGCAAAAGTTGAACTGAAAAGATCTGCAGAGAGTTCTCTGTGTGGTGGAGTGTTATAGAAGGATAATGAGATGATTGGCTCTTGCAATTAGAAGATAACTATTGTGTGAATATTAATAAAAGCTTTAGTGATGTATAGTTATGTTATTGTAGTTTAGATGTCCTCTGCTCTCCCCATAGTTCCCTTTCCCCCCCGTATTGTGACCATCAGCCAGCTGGCGTTGTCTAGGAAAGGTAGAGAGAAGGCTGTACATGTGTCCCTTGCCTGGGGCAACTGGGAATGGAAAAGCTTGGTGCTTAGGGGGTATGGCATGACAACACCTGATCTTCAGTCAAGTTACAAGAAAGCAGTCTCCACTGATAAATGGCAAAGAAGAGCTGACTGACAGACTTTGGGAGGGGCCAGGGCTGGCTGATGCAACCCCCAGGGGTATAAAAGACTGAGCATCCATCTTGAAGATCAACCAGCCATGTAGTATGCACGTGGGCAGTTCCCAGCACTGTAACTTTTTCCTTGTGTAGTCCTTTGTTGTATTTTTGTCAAGGTTTAATAAACCTTTTAAATTTTCAAAGGGAGCAGTTGTTTCTCACATATAGTATAACAAATGTGCTAGATTTACTGAAGTGTTAAGTTTGGGATTTGCTATTCAAGCATTCCTTCAATGGGACGCAATAGATACTTTGACAACTTGTTTAAAAGAAAAACCTGGTCTCCATTATGTGCAAATGTTATGTCATATAAAGTTGAAATAGGAAGACACCATTCTTTTAGCTCAGTTTTGGTCAATATGACTACATCCTGCCATTGATCTATATCTGGGTCTCTAAGCTGTGTCCATCAAAAGGCCTGAAAATGTATCAATGGCAGGATACTGCCCTTTGTTCTTTCATGTTACAATCACAAGGAATCAGAATGGGATCTGGCTCCCAGGACTTGGAGCTGGCCTGCAGCTTTATGAGAGTGGCTTGCAGCCCTCAATGAAAAGAGCCTTTGGGAAAACAGGCTGCCATCTGCAAGCTTCCAGGCTCTGACAGTGCCAAGTACAAACTTTCTCGCTATATGAGCATACCGGCCATTGCAGAGTGTCAGTGGTGATTTGTAGCTGATAGCAGGGTGTTCTAGGACCTTTTTGGCAACACTTCTTGACCCCCCTCCATTTATTGCATTTTGATCTGTGATCAAACAGATGTTTGATTTCCCAAGTGCTCTTGCACATCACATTAGCCCTGTGTGTGCATGTTTGGCTGGGGAGCAGTGGAGAGGAGGGAGGAGAGCTCTGCTCTGATCGTGCTCCTCTTTGAGTGTCCCAAGCTGCCTGGTGGCCTTGGGCTCCTCAGAGTCCTTAAATTCCAGATCTCCCTGCCACATAACCCCGTTACCTTGCATCTTCTGTGGCTATGGACTGTGCAAGAGAGGGGTAGACACACTCTTGGTGGCCCAAAGGAAAGCTCTTTCTCTCCAATGCTACAGCCAGCACCTTCCAGTGCCAGGAAAGGGTAGAGCTGGAAACATTTCAGACCCCAAACATGTGGGGTATGTTTGTTACAGCCAGAGAGCATGGTGTCAGCTCAGTAAAGCAAGATTTGCTCTGCTGCCATAAATGTCTCTGCAGAAGTAAATCTTGGCAATAATGAGCCAAAGAAAGGTGGGAGCCTTGCAATCAGTGATCAAAACTGCTTCCACCCACTCCCATTCACAACCCATTTCATGTTTTCATTTAATGCCACCAGAAACCCATTTAAGCTCTCAAAGTACTTGACCAGGAATACTCTCTTGAAATTTAGACCAAATAACTTAGACCATTTTTCTAAATAATTTCTTTGCAGAAATTAATTGTCATCCAGAACACTCTTGTGAAAATTATTTAGGCATTGATTTTGTACTGAAAAAAATTGTCCTCTATAATTTTGCAGTCTTTAAGGGTAATTTAATATTGAATACTATTAATAG